AGCTTATTACCTGCTGCAAAGGAGCAGAGGGCCGGGCGCTTATCCACCCCCCCCACACCCTGTGAAGCTTTCCCTCTGTGCCTGCAAGGATCGAGCTGATTTTAGAGGGGCATGTGGAGGGACTCTGGCTCCCGGCCACCGGCGGGATGGCTCCTGACGCTCCCGGGACCCAAAGATGCCCACCTCGGTGCACAGGCTGGGTGCTGGCAGGGTGCAAGGCCGTATTTCTGGGTAAAACCCAGCTGAAAAAGCAGTGCTCGGCATCCTGAATCGGCAATACCCTGCGTGCGCCCTGATGACGGTGTCGGTCCCACAGCGGTGACCCGGTGGCCCGGCTGCGGGCTGGCAGCCCCGGCGGGGCTGGGCACGGTGTGGGTTACGCATGGAAGCAGGGCTGGCGCCGGGCGCGGCTGGTGCCAGGGGATATTTTGGGCTCCAGGAGCAGGACACATTCTGTTCCCGTGAGCTAAGGCAGCGAGCAGGGGCCGGTCCCTTCCCTTCCACCCCACCGCCCTGCAAAACCTTCACCGGGGTCACTGGGCAGCTCCGGGGCTCCACCGCTGGAAAGGGGCTGGGGAGGGGACTGGGAGCACTGGGGCTGTGGGGCTCAACTCCGTCGCAGTCCGGGGTGACCACGGCAGAGGCTCTGCCGAGGCAGCTGCTCACCGCTGGGAAGCGTGTGATGCCACAGGAGACACACGGGATTGCCCACGGCCGTGCGGACACGGGCACTGGGCAAAGCCAGGGCGGAGACCTGCACCCACCGCCACCGCTCGCTTGAGCTGAACCTCCATGTCTGCCTCACCCTTGAAGAGCTGCTTTGTACTCGCTTGAGCTGAACCTCCACGTCTGCCTCACCCTTGAAGAGCTGCTTTGTTTCCAGCCTGAATTTATCCATCTCCAGCCCATGCAGCCGGTCCAGGTGTCTGCTCGCAGCCGCGGGGCAACGAGCTGCCAACGCTCAGGGCACGGATATTCCCCCTCATCTCCAGCTCCGCACGAATTCCTGGGTGAGCTGAGCCCCATCCCGGCCGACTTCCAGGATGAGGACTTCCCCGGCTGCTCGAATCCCTCCTGCAACTCATCCGGGTGCCGGGCTCGGCGAGAGACAACCCTCGGCACGGCACGATGCTGCCGCACCCTCCCCGTATTACGGCACAGCAGCTCAGCCCTGGTAATGCCCATTTTGCAAAGCACTTTGGGCTCCATCAGCCTTAAAGCACTCATTCAGCACAGCCCGCGATTATTATTATTATTATTTTCCCATTGCATTGCTGCATTTTAACCACCGCTAACACGTTACGTTTTTAAATTGAGGGCAATTGTAGTGCAAAAAAAATTGCATATATTGGGATCATAACTATCAGCTGCAGGTAGGGAGATTATTAACACGCCTTCTGCCCCGCAAGACAGACAATGAAAGCTGCCGATAAATTGTATATACGCCTACAAATTGCAGGCCTTGGTTAAACGCAGGGTGAGGAATTTTATTGGTTTATAATTGTGACCACCTGAAAAAAGGAAGGGGGTTAAACTGATACAGTGACCCAGGCGATGAGTTAAAGGAGGCCCACGGCACCGGCTCACCCCCGAGTTATTTGATGCTGTAGCAGAAAAATTGGGGGAAAAATAAAGCAAGGGACTGGTCCTTCCCGGACGTCCTCGCTGCTGGCGGCCGTCCGTCGGGAGAAGCACGGGGAAGCGCTGGGTGCCCATGGTAAACCCTCTGTGGATTTAAAAAAAATCTGGGGCAACTGGGGAGGAAAATTTGCATCCCAAACCAGGACTTGCTGCTAAGGCCAAGCTTTGCAAGACTGGGGGGGGTGGGTGGGAAGGGATTAAAAAGAACACTTTCAAGAGCCTCCCTGCTTTGCAGCTCGCCGAGCGAGGCTCAGGGCAGCGCTGGCTCCAGGCACCAGCTCCCTCCCGGGCTGCACCCTGGGGAGGGGGGGAGAGCTGCCACGTCCTGGGCAGCCCTTGGGTCTATGAGCACCCTTTTGTCTCTGCTTTAATATGAGGATATAACACCCGCACATGCCTGCAGGGAGGCACCTAAATAGGGCCTTGCCAGAGGAGAGGGGCAGAGGAGCAGCGAAGATGGGGTGGACGAGGGGCACGGAGCAGCCGTCCCACCCAGAGCGGGTCGCTCCGCATCTTCTTGCAAACACAGCAGGGGAGACGGCCAGAAACAATAGAAAGTAATGCAAAAAGATATTTTTTTCCTTCCTTGCCGCGGGGTGGGCAATGCCACGGGCACCGGGCTGCAAACCTCTCCTAGGGAGAGAAACCTTGGTGCACCAGGGGTGCCGGGCTGGTACAGAGGGCTGCTGGAGCTTGGGCTGCTGCCAGCCACCCGAAATCACGCCTATAACTCTGTGTATATATATATATTTCATTTTTTATATCTATAAAAAAATAAAAATACCTGTACATATATATATTTTTTTTTTTTTTTTTAAGCACTGGAGGAGGTGACCTGAGCTCGTGCCCTCTGCTCCCCAAGCCAAACCACCACGCAGGCATGCACCTCGCAGGTGAGCGACGTCCCCAGCTCCAGCCGGCTGCTGGGAGCCCTGTCCAAGCCGAAAACCTCACCCAGTCGCTGCTGCAGCGCAGCCCTGCGCTCGCAGCCCTCCTTCCGCCTGCCCACGGCACCGAGAGCTGAAAAAACCGTCGCAAGGCTCCGACAGGCACCGGCACCGCTTGCTCGGGCGTTGCAAACCGGTCGCCATCCCCGATGGGTTTGCAATTGCTGACGCATCACCCGGGCGCTGGGGTTTAAACACGAGCCTAGGCTGGGTTGGCAGGGCTGGAGGTTGGGCGCTGGGGTGGCATTGCTGCTCCCCGGGTGCCCCGGGACCCGGCTGGACTCTGTGTCACCCTGATATTGCTGGCAAAAGTGAGGTGGGGTGGGGACGCAGAGCGGTGACTCCACAAGATGCTGGTGCTGATTTTGCCAGACATGCTGGGGTGAAACTGCAGCAAAGAGGGTTTGGGGTTTTTTTCCTCTCTTTTTCCTCCCCCCGCCCCCCCCAAAGGCTCAGCCCTTCCCAGCGTGGCTTTATGACCAGAAACGGCGCCTTTACTTGGAGGATTTCTTCCATTTGAACAAAATATTTCAGATGCCTCAAAGAGAGCCAGGAGGCAGCAGGAAAAATCCCTCCTCAGACAGAATCTCCCTGTCGACTTGACCCTTTCCTAGTGACTGCCTGATTTTCTGAGCTGTTTCAGTTCCCCAAAAGATGACATTTTCTCACTTCTTTTGAAAAACCACACACACAAACACAATTTTCCCTTCTTCGCAGCTGAACTGCCAGTGCCGTCCCACCAGGACCTCCAGCCACACCAGGTCCCCGAGGCCCTGCAGCCAGACCCCCCCCCCCCCCCTGCCAGTGCCGCCCCACCAGGCCCTCCAGCCACACCAGGTCCCCGAGGCCCTGCACTGCAACGCCGGTGCCGTCCCACCAGGACCTCCAGCCACACCAGGTCCCCGAGGCCCTGCAGCCAGACCCCTCCATATATACGGTAGAAAAGCCACTAGCATTAAAAAATCTCAAAGCACCCTCCCTAAAATCATGCTAGACTCACTTAAAAATAAGCTCACTGTTGCCATTCCCGGTATATTTGGGGAATAAACCCACCACCCTCTGGGGCAGGGAGCTGCCACCCTGGCAGGGGTTGGGAGCTGCCCTAGGGACCCCGGAGGTCCCCAAGCACCCTCAGGTCCCCCGCACGGTGTTGTCCCCTCGCTGGCTGGGTGTTACAGGGTGACACTCTGGAAATAACAGCACTTGGCGGGGGGGGTGTGTGTGTGTTTTGCTCTTCTCTCCGCAGCCTGAAGGCGCCGGCGGAGGCTCAGCCTCCTCGGCCAGGGCTGGAAAAACACGATGGGAAATATTTGGAGGCTGTGACTCAGCGCAGGAAAACTGCTCAACCCCGGCTGAAGCCTCGCATGAGCCCGGCCGGCACGAGCAGGGTCCCCCCACACCCCAGGGGGGTTCTCCAGCGTCTTGTAAGCGTTAAGCTAACCCTTACCTGTGGTTTGCAGCTCTCTTCTGCAAGACATTTGCTAAACCCACCTGCAGTCACCGGCAATGCAACGGAGACCTGGACAGATGCCCGGACGGGGACTCAGGCCCAGGGGCTTTGGCATGACCGGCAAAGCCAAGGGAGACCTGCCCTCCTGCCTCAGTTTCCCCAGTGCCCTTGAGCTGTCCCAAGAGCACTTTTCCCCCCCCGTGCACGGTGTGAATAGAGGCTCTGCCCTATAAACCCCCAGTAAACCTTTAACGTTCCGGTGGTGCCCGAGCCCCAACGAGCCTCGCTGCCCCCGGCACCACGTCCCCACTCAGACAGGCAGCACGGCGGGTCCTACCTGTCTGCAGGGGCTGGAGGGTCCAGACATCCCCAGAGCCGGGATCTGGCTCCTCGCTTCTTCCTGAGCGCATGGTGCAGGGATGCGCCTCGGTCTGCGGGGATGGGGCTGGAGCAGGGGGCCGGGCAGGCCCCTCCTCAGGGCTCTTATCGGCAGCTGCCAGGGGCTCCTGCCCGCACCCTGATAAGTGCTGGGCTCCACATCACAGGGCTGGGGTGCCCCCAGTGCTGCTTCACACACACCTACCCCCCCCACCCACCCCCAGCTCCACTGCAGCCCAACCCACAGTGGGATGAGTGTCAGTGCCCCAAATCCTGGCTTTCGGGGAGAGCATTACACCCAGGAGGGCTGGGAACAGTTGCTGCAAGGAGGGTGCACTGGAGCCGAACCCACCCCCTCGGGCAAATGGGGAGTGTACGTGTCCCCCCCCCGTTTGCCTCCTTGGACAACCCAGGGCTGCTCCCAGGCACCCCCGGAGCAGTGGGACACCCCCACCCCATACTGTGCTAGGCAGGATCGGCCCCTGGGGCTGAGCCAAGGGGAAAAGGGAAACTGCATCTCACACCCGCTTGCTTGGCAGCGCTGCCCTGCAGAGGCGTGCGGAAAAAGAAAAGAAAAGAAAAAAAGAACAATTTTATTTTTTCGAACAAGACCTGTAGCCGAGTCACAGTGGCACTTCCACGCCCAGACAGGAGTAAATACACCCAAAAATATAGAAATAACTTAACTGGACCTACGGTACAGCAGAGACAAACCAAGAGTGGCCGAGCGGCAGGCGATGCTGCTGGACCTGGACCCACGTTCCAGCAGAGCCGGGAGCGGGGGCTGTCCCGAACAGGCACCTCCCCGGCGACCCGCACCGCTGGGAAATGCTCTGGCACATCTGGGTAAAGCTATGGCCACCCCACGTCCCACCCCGTCACCCTCACAGCAGGCAGGAGGGCAGCCACAGGCAGCCCCGCGCCCCAGTACAGCTCCCCGCCTCAGCCACGAAGGTTGAGGCAGCAGAGATGTGCCAGCGGCTGAAAAAATGATGCAAAAAAAAAAAAAAGATATCAAACACACCACAGGCACTCCTACCCTCACCCTGCTCCTGTCCCGGGACCTAGATTTAAGAGGCACTTCACATCCCAAATTGCAGAGGGCTCGGGCAGGCATGACGGGGCAGGGCTTAACCCCTCCTGCAGCCCCGCCAGCCCCGCTCCGAGGGCTGGGTTGGGATCCAGCCGTGCCAGGGTCCACGGGGAAGAGCAGCGAGGGGCTGCGCGCACCCCCAGCCATGGAGGGGACGTCCCCATGTCACAGCAGGCACCGAAGGCAGCAGAAACACTCGGGGCCAGGGCAGGGAGGAGCCACAGCCTCTCCCCCAGCCATTCGGACCCTGCCGTGGGGGAACTCAGCTCGGAGACGAGTGGCACCGGGGGGCTGCCCGACTGGGCGACGGGATGGCCGGATCCTTCCCACCACTCCTGCGGTGCCTTCCTTGGGTGCGAGCCAGAGAGGTGGGGAGGGGGTGCCAGGGCAGCATCCCCACCAGCAGCTGCATGTCTTCCAGCACAACGAGACCCCGAGAAGCAGGGGTAAAGCCCGCGATACCCTCTGGCGATCTCTGCAAACGAGGACAGTCCTCCGCGGCGGCAGTCTTGGTGCCAGGACATGGCACAGGGGTGTAACACCAGCGCTGCATGGCGAAGGCAGCGCCCGCAGGCACCCTGGTTTGGCTTCATTCAGGCTCACCCCAAGAAAGGCACAGAGCAGTCGAGCACCCCCAGCTCTGCCAAGCCCAGGGCAGCACTCCGGGGTCTTCTCGGCACTGACAGCTTCTTGGGGATCCCCTCTTCTGGGATGAGGGGGCAGGGAAGCCCCCCCTTTCCTTCCACAGCTCCCGGCCCCTTAAGGGGGGAGACAATATTCCAGCAAAGTCTTTAGGGTACCAGCTCCCCCCTGGCCTTTCCCCCAAACCGGGGGCAGGAGGAGGAGGAGGGAGCAGAGGCCGGTCAGGTCATGTAGCGGGTGACAGCTCTCAGGGCATAGAGCAGAGCCGCCTGCATCCGAGCCTCCAGCAAGAGCAGGTTGATGTGCACCTACGCAGGGAGAGCGGGGTCAGGGCATGGGGGGCTCAGCACCCCCCCACGCCCTGCCAGGAGGGGAAGGGATGGGGCAGTACCTTCTCCGAGTGCTTGAAGTGTCTCCAGAACTGCGTATACATCCGCTTGGTCGTCTTCTCCGGGTAGCAAGCCACTGTCTTGATGTAGATCTTCAAGCTGCGCTCCAGGAGCTGGTTCACCTCCCCATAGTCGTAGTCATCGTAGCTGGGGGAGAGAGGAGGGCGCGTTACTCCAGGCACAACCCCTGCCCATTCGCACATCCCAGGGTCTTTCCAGACCTAAGCTGTGCCCCCCAACAGCATCGCTTTGCCTTAGTCTAAGCGGCAGCAACAGTTTCACCAAGACCGAGTCACAGGCTCCCGGGCTGGACCCGCTCCCGGGCTCTACCCAAGGCAGAGAACAGGCTCCGGCCACGGCTCGGGGACCTACCGGATGCCGAAGACGCAGTGGACGTAGTTCCAGATGGCCCTGCGCAGCATGGACGTGTCCACGCCGCAGTGCATGGCGATGGTGTTGTACGTCAGGTTGTAGACAACCTGGAACTTCTCGTCCAGGAGCTGCCCCACGTCGGGGTAGAGGCGGTTGATCAGCGAGTAGCCATGGTCCTCCCAGGTGTAATCCTGCCGGAGAAAGGATGCTGGGGTAGGGGCTCAACAGGGAAACGTGGGGTCCCTTCAAAGCCAGTGACACAAGCTGGGGTCTCCCCCCCGCCATGCTGACCCCCCCCAACTATTAGCATCTGGTTGCACTGCTCACACAGCTCCAGCCTGGTCCCAGCCCCTCGCCCTCTGCACCCACGCTGTCCACGACCCTGGGAACAGCCCCGCTTGTCCCCCCCGCCAAGACAAGCAGGACCTGCCACCCAGCACCCTGCCACCCCTTCCCCTCCGGCTGGCACAGGACCGCGAGCACCCACCTGCGCACGGAAAGTTGGGGGCGCCTGCTCGCCCCTCCGTGTGAAGTCCTTGTACCCGAACTCGGGGTCCTCCACGAAGCAGAGGACGTTGGACTGCAGGGAGTGATCCGCAATATCTACAAGGCACCACCGCAGCAGCCATGAGCGACGCGGCGTGACCCCGGACAGAGCCAGCCCTGCAGCTGGGGGCCTGATCCTGCTCCTCCCTGGGCAGATGCCGGCTCCGTCCCCCCCTCCCCTGTGACTTCCCTGGCCCACAGTCAGCTGCACCCCTGCACCTCCTCACCCGAGGGAGCGACCAGCAAACTCTCCGTCTTCTCCAGCTCAAAGCGCGTTGCCATCTCCTCCTGCGTGACACCCTCCTCCTCCAGCTGGCTTTCCTGCAGCAGCTTCATCCTCTCCATCAGCACCTCCACCTCCTGCATGGCATCTTTGCCCTGGCGAAGCAGAGGCCAGAGTCAACCCTGCCCTAGGTCGAGCAAGGTTGCAGAGGGGTTGCAAGCCCAGAGCAGGACGGAGTCGCTTGCAGAGGGGAAGCCCAGAGCAGGACGGAGGGAGTCTCAGCTCTGCTGTCACTTGGAGCAGCCCCGGGGCTGCTCTAAAGACCATTCATTTCTGGACTGGGAGGAGGGGGAAGCCCTGCGGAGGGTGCTCCTGCGCGGAGGGTGCTCCTGCGCAGCCCTAAAGCATCATCTGTTCCCAATAGAAGCCCTTGGGGCAATTCCCAGGGGAAGCACCGCAAAGCAGTCCAGCACCCCACCATGCCCTTCCCTTCCCACCCCACACCCCCACCCCTGCAAGGCAAAG